GTTCTGGGCAAAACACGAAAAACGTTTAACGCAATGCTTGAAACTGCGACGGTTCGAGGATTCATTTCGCAAGGTCAACAAAACTGATTCTGATTCGGAAAAAAACAGACCACATTTCTCAAAATACTAACTTACACTAAAAGGCTAAGAACAGATCAGAAAGTCTGGTGTGTCTCAATTACTAGGTTTTTTGAGGAAGCACACAAAGTCCATGGGGGCACGCAAAGGAAGCACACAAAGTCCATCCTTGCTTCCTACGGATGTTCTCTCAGCACACAATGTGTGGTTGTATCACACATATAATATTAAAAATGGTTATGATAGTAACAGTAATAATAATGATTACAATAATATTAGTAATAACGGTAACAGGAACAATCGTGTAATACTAATGAAGTAGTGTAAGTAACTGCAAAAATTATCAGTTGCATAAGTAGAGAGTGAGAATTACAGCTACTGAAGTGTACAGGTAAGTGATAGTAGTGATATTGTTCTCTATTGTTGTAACTAGAGTGATAATAATATTAACATTAACGATATCAACATTATTTGCGCATATTATCACATTATTATTATTGCTTTTTTTCTTCAACAAACCCTGAAATGGGGAATAACAGAAATAAAAATACTAACAAACAAATCCTCTTTTTTGAGCTTCGACAGTAATATCACTAATCGTAGTTGTAATCGCTGAATGTGTTTGTTTTTGTTGGAGTGTCTGTTTTGTTGTTACAGCTGCAATCGTCGTTCGCCAAGCATATGATTTATTTGGAAGAGCATCGCGAAGTGGGCGATGGTCCAGAAAAAGCTGAACAATTAGCTCAAGCACATTCCGAATATGCTCAGCAAGCAATGGTTTGTTTTTTTTTTACTTTTTTTGCTTTATTATATATTATAAAACGTAATAATAAAATTAACAACAGCACTGATAATAAATGTAGCAATAACAAAAATAATAATAGTGACGATTATAACAAATGATACCAAGAATAACAGTAATAATAACAATAGTAATAATAATAAATATCACCAGGAATACTAATAAAAACAACAACAACAATAATGCCAGTTTTTGAAAGCATTGTAAATTATCACAAGTAATTGATATAAATTATAATAACTGTGGCAAAAGCCGAATTCCCGCGGAACAAGGAACACTTCAGCTCTGATCCACTTTTAGTCGAAATGGCGTACTGTTCATCAAGTTTTATTTTCAGTTACAGTTTTAATCCTAACTTTACAACTATATTATGGTGACTATGGCAGCACGAAATTTTCTCTTTCGCGATTCTTTCTAATATTTTCATCTTTGATAAGACGTTTCACCACTTTGTTACTTTTCGTTATTGATGCATCTGGCAGCTTCTCCATTCTTCTTCGTCTTGACTCTCTGTTATTAAATGTAATTCCATATAACCTTTTTGACGGATCCTTTCATCATATCGGCGGCCTTCTCTATGTTCTAACATTGCGTGGATGCCATACCTGCTAATACTCCAT